TACTTCAACGAACAGTTCAGCTGGTCAGGCGCTAATCAGACTATTTCCACAGGTGTAGCGGAGGCTCCATAAGAAGTGTCACGTGAACCGCCTATTGCAGCAGAAGTTCAATCATGCATCCAAGCCCTGAAGAAAGGAAAAGCAGCAGGATTGGACGGGCTTCCCCCCCCCACACACACACTCTTTTGAAGTTGGGAGGCGATGACCTCGTAGACTCCATTAGTGATCCCATGCGTAACATCTAGTCACATGAGCGCATTCCATCAACCTGGCGCGAATCATTGATTGTTCCCATTTTAAAAAGGGATCTCGCAACGACTGAGCAAACCACCGTGGAATAAGTTTGATTCCAATCGTCACCAAGTTACTAGCCTTCGTCATACTTCGACGTCTGACGCCGTTTAGCGAGACAAATATCTGCGAATAACAAGCAGGATTTTGACCAGGCCGCGGGTGTGTCGATCAACTCTTCACTCTGCGTTCTCGATCTACGCCATACGCACCGTCGACCAACGGTCGTCGTAGTCCTTGACCTAAAAGGAGCCTCCGATTCAGTTGACCGCGAATCCCTTATGGGTTCACTTCTTCGCAAAGAAATGCCTCATAAGTATGTGAACATACTGAGTTCACTCTACTCACATACTTCTGGTAGCGTACGGGTCTACGGCGAGCTGAGTAGGTCGTNCGTTCGTAACTAGCAGCGGTGTTCGTCAAGGGTGCCTTCTTTGGCCATTCCTGTTCAATTTCGCCATAGACGAAATACTGGAGAACACACTAAGTGGTCTCCACAACGTTGGTATTGAATGGGCAGCTGGAGAAAAGCTGTGCGATTTGGAGTACGCTGAAGACATCGTTTGCCTGTTCGAACGTATGGAGGATGCACAAAGAGCACATGACAANCCGTCACTCCATTCGGCATGTGCTTTGCACCTCCAAAGTGCAAGGTGATGCTACAAGACTGCGTGTCACCGAGTTCTGTCTTGAAACTGGTCAGGAATTAGATGAAGTTGACTGCTTCTCGTACTTAGGTAGCTGCGTGAGCAACGACGGTAGCGCATCAAAGGAGATACCTGCCCGCACTTCCAAGGCTCCAGCAGTGTACGCAGGACTTAAGCACCTGTGGCGGAGATGTGACGTTTCACTGAAGTTGAAAAGTCGCGTGTACTGCGCTACTGTACGATCAGTTCTGCTGTACGGTTGTGAGATCTTGAACTTGCGGGTAGAAGACATCCGTTGTTTAGCAGTGTTCGACAATCGATGCCTACGTAGACTGGCCCAAGTGGGATGGAGTGAGCGAATTAGTAACTTAGAAGTAAGTCGTCGGATGTTTGGGAATACCTCAAACAAGAACTCGCTATCGCATCAAATCCAGCTCAATAGGCTCCGTTGGTTAGGATACGTGTTGCGTATGTCCGACGGTTGCCTACCGCGGCGCGCCTTATTCGCAGTGGCTGTTGCAGGCTGGAGAAAGCCACACGGGGGCCAGCAGATGACGCGAAGATGAGGCACAAAGAAATGCACAGCGCGATTGGGTAGAGCAGGTGTCTCTCGTCTTCTGCGTTGGGGTCCAAAAGATTCCGTAACTAGATGGTTGGGGGTACTGAAGGTCATGGAAGCAAACCAACGGCAGAGGCGATCAGATCAGAATACTTGAACTACTATGTATGCACAGTTGGACTGTGTACTCTGCATGTTGACCACAGAGGTTCGCTTTCTTCTCCTGTCCCTAAAAACTAGACCCCGTCCCTGTCCTCCTTACACATTATCACTTACCTTGTATGTATGTATGTATTATTATTATTGAGTTTGGCAGCGACGAGTGAATTTCGCCTCACTGTATTATTCTGTACGATGACGACGATCAACAAGCTGGTTTACTGAGTGTTCCTCATCATTCTCCGTTTTATACAGGGTCTTCGAACTTTGTAATTCATGTACACTAGGTAATAAAAATATGGAACATAACCCATCCTTCGAGATTACGAACACCAATTAAAAGAAGTCATATGTGGCACATTTTGTTAAGTGATCCGCAAAGGACTTTGATAGACTACATTTTCCAGGGCTAACTTGGATTAAGGGAAAGGAATTTTTAGATCCATCCTACTTAGTTCAAATATAATGTTTTTTCTTGTTAACAGTTGCATTGGGTTAGTTGAGGATCAATGCCTAAACTCTAAATATTTGGCGTCCGTAGAAGCGCAACTGGTTCCTAAGTGAATCATAAATTTGATTGACTTCAACAGTAAGACGTATTTCGGAAAATCACCAGAGACCGAAAACTGTCATTAAACATCCACTGACCGGCAACGTAGTGATAGTAGTAGTATACTGTTAATGACTTAAAACTGCACAAGTAACCGATTACGACCACCTAGTCGGCGGACTTATTTTCCAACTTGTCACGGCTTAATAACATGAGAAACCATGATTCACGTAAACGGTGGCAATCAGCCCCAAGCGACAATGGGGAAGAGCACCGTGTGCTCAAGATTTTGGTGATTTGAAACTTCTCCCCCCCCCACACACACACTTCTTGTGATTCTACGTATGTCCTGTCGCATGAGCTTGAAGTCTGTAACTAGTTTACTGGTCAAATTTTAATGGCATCCGAATCCAAGACAAATTATACCAATCAAATTTGTTTTCTTTGCGTTCACATGGTGATCGTCCTGAGAGATCAGTAGGATCGTTCCATTCTGAGTTCGACTGAGTTCATCCGTGATCGGCTATTCCACATACTGTGGAATTGTTACAGAAATAGCAAACAAACATACGAAATGTTATGGTAAACTTCAGCAAATGAGAGCCCCTGAGAAAATTAATGGAGCTGAAAATTTGCCAACAATGATTTTTCAAGTGAAGCGTAAGGGAATTGACGATTCGAGCTTAGAACTTCGTTCACTGGGTTCAGAAGGACGAATAAACCAGAATAAAAACCCATAGTCAATAAAGAATCTTAATAGTGATGCGTGTGAGTCTATTTTATATATTTCAATGGCTAAATCAACGATAAAAATTGAAGTATATAACTGATTAAATTGAGAACAAAGATGAATTAGAACCAAACTCATGAAGAATATACAAATGCCATTCTCGAAAAGCTGGGATAAACTACGTGAGCGGACACGTAAGCATGGAAATTGGATAGCAGAGATCAACGAACGAAATCGTGCTATCATTCGATTTTGTCTTTTGCAGGCTCCTCTGTTTCGGCTTCGATTGGTTTTGGAGTCGGATGCGACTTTTTGCACTCCATGTACAATTCCCCCAAACTGAAAGAATTGACAATATTTTCCCACGTGAAAAAGAACTTTTGAATCGACTTTTTGTTTACTCCCACTATGGCTGGTCGTCGGGTGATTTCCTTTCCTTTCCGAAACAATATCAACGTGGGTAATTGTTTGGACCAGCCAGAAGTATCGATCGAATACTTTTTGGCAATGTCCGGATATCGTGTGATATCCAGCTTTCCAAATTTAAGAAAGTCTAATCCATATTCTTCCGAGAGCTCAGCAAAAATAGGTTGCAATTTGATGCATGCCGGTGACCAAGCGGTGTAGAAGGCAACTAGCCACGTAGTTCGTGAATCACCATGAACAACTTCTTGATCGAAAGTTGTGTCGCGCAAGTATAAAACCCTGTCAGGGCCACTGTAGGTAGGTTGTTGACAAAAGCAAGCCTGCATAAGCCACAAGAGGCCGAAACCAACCGCATACACTGCGTTCTGCTTCCAAAACATGTAAACACTAAGGATTTTGGCAAACAAACAGAAATGCGACAGATAGTCAGGAATTGAGAATTGCCTTTTGCTGCGCAAGGCGACAAAACTTCCTAAGAAAATCAAAAGTTCATACTCGTGGAAATCAATGTGACATGTGTTGTACATGGTCGTACATATAGGAGGAACGGTCTTTGTGACGAAGAACATTACACTGAGTAGCATATTAACCGCATAGAACGGATGAAGTAGCTGGCTTAAAATCCTCTGGTGTTTTCCCATCTGTTGAAAAGAAATAAAATTACATAAACAGTAAATATTCAACAGATAAAGACACATTGTTAAAAAAATGAAGTCTTTTTTTACATTTCAGCCGAAAACGGTCCAGTTCCTCAAAAAGAAAACATCAATTTTAGCACGTCATTATCGTCACCAACATCGTAGAGCAACACAGTTTTGGCTGAGCGTGTTTGGTTAAGGTATATCTAACTCCACGTGCAACTTTGCTGCAGACGTTTTTCATCATTGCACAATGTTATTATTGTTCTTTTGAAGGCACGAATATCGGAGGCCAAAACAGCTTTGGTGTACATTTAAGAAGAATCCAAATGATGCACCTAAACGACTATTGGCGGGGGATTAATCGATAAGCGGGACTGCCACTCCAAGATAAAACCACCAAAGCCAAGTGGTTTGTTCTTCAGCCTGCAATATATTGGCGGTAGGCAGGTTCGCTGTCACCGAGCTAAGTAACAAGCGTTGAGTGGTTCGCCAAGCCAAGTCCTTGAACCTAGGTTGAGTTGATATGTATTTCATATTTTTACACACGTCTGAATCCAGACTGTGTGCTAAACAGATCATGGTACAGTTATCTTCATAAAAAGAAACGATTTGCATGTAGGCTGAATACTACTAGGTTGGCCAGGCCAAGGCAGGTGAATTTTCTTGAGGAATCAACAACCGGAGCCTTCGGCTAGCCAAAGCCTGACCCGCAAGGCAGTGGGGTGGTGTACGTAAACCGCAATCCATTGGGAGCTGGTGTCCAGTTCAACGGATCATACGTCCTTCGGACGGGGTCAAACATCCAAGGTGCCCAATACACCTCGATGCACAGTTAAACCGGTGACCGGGTGTGTGGTTCGTACGCCTCCGCTTGGTTGATTTGGAATCAGGGTTTTTGGCCAACTCCCCTGGGTGCACTACCAGTGGTCCACCAACCCGGATATCGGCTTTTCGTCCCCTTATTTTCATCATCATCATCATCACTGCACAGAGTAATACAGCGGAGCGAACTTCACTGATCTCTGCCAAGGTCATACTGCATACAAGATGAGAATGTGTAAGGAGGAGAGGGATCAGACTTACTTTAAGGGAGGGAAAAAGAAAGCGAACCTGTATGGCCAACACCCAGAATACACAGTCTAACTGTGCATACATACTATTTCAAGCATTCTGGTCTGATAAGCAGTGACACCAAAATCGTCATTGCTTTCGGTTCGAAGTCATGATCTTCGCTCTCCAACCGTGCGGTTACGGAAACTTCTGAGCTTCATTTTTTCATGCCTCGTCTCCACGTCATCTGCTGGTCTCCATGTAGCTTTTTTCATTCTGCAGCGGTCACTGCAAATAAGGCGCGGTGCGGTTGACGACCTTTAGACATATGCGAAACGTGTCCTAACTAACGGAGCCTATTGAGATGAATTCCATATGCTCACGAGTTCATGTTCAATGCATTCCCAAACATCCGACGATTTACTTTTAAGTTACGAACCCGCTCCCTCCATCCCACGTGGGCCAGACTACGTAAGCATCGATTGTCGAAGACCATCAGCAGTCTTAGACTTCTAGACGACGAATATATTCCACGCGCAAATTTAGGGTCTCGCGACTATAAAGCAGAACTGACGGCACACTGGTGCAGCGTGCATGAGCGTTCAGTTTCAATGGAACATAGCGTCTGCATCAAAGGTGTTTCGGCCCAGCGTAATACACTCGAGCCTTGAAAATGCGGGTGGTTACTTCACTGACTATGCTACCGTCATTTGCAAAACAACTTTCTAAGTAGGAGTAGACGATATCCTATTTTGTATCATCACTTTGCACTTTGAAGGTGCAAAGCGCATACCAAAAGGAGTTACAGAACTTGAAAGTCTGTCACGAGCTCTTTGCGCATCCTCCATACATTCGAACAGACAAACGATGTCATTCGCATACTCTAAACCGCACAGCTTTTCTCCAGCTGCCCATTCAATATTTACGTTTGGAGATCACTAAGTGCGTTCTTTAGTGTTTCGTCTACGACGAAATTGAACACGAATGGCGAAATAGGGCACTCTTGCCGAACATCGATCTTGCTTTCGAACGATTTACTTAGCCCACCGTAGACCATTACGCTACCAAAAGTACGTAGGCACAGCGACCGCAATAGGTTTACATACTTCCGCAGCATTCCTTTGCGGAGCGGCGATCCCAGAAGAGCTTCACGGTCAACTGAATCGGAGGCTCCTTTTAGGTCAAGGAACACTGCGATTGTTGGCCGACGATGTGTGTGTGACGCAATTCGAGGACTTGAAGCAGAGTGAAGATTTGATAGATGCAACTGCGACCTGGTCGGAATCCGGCTTGTTGTTCGCGGATATTCCTCTTCCTTCAGGGTGTTAGCGGCGAAGTAGCACAGAAGTCAACACTTTTGTGATTATCGGAACTAAACTAATCCCACGATGGTTAGCGCAGCCGTCGCCTAATCCCTTCTTGAAAATAGGGACTATCATCGATTCACTCCAGGACAAAGGGATACGCTCCTCCGTCCAAATGCTGCGAAGTAAGCTAGTAATTGAGTCCACAAGAGAATCTCCGCCCACCTTGAAAAGAATAGGGAGAAGCCCACCAGGTCCAGCAGCCTCTCTTTTTATTAATGATTGAATGCAACTTCGTACTTCCGATTCTGATGGGGGCTCGCATGTTACCACCCAAGGAGTTTCCGCCGCAATTGCTGGAATGACCACATTAGCACTCAGCCAATTGAACTGTTCACCTAAATACTCTGCCCAACGACCAAGTCGTTCTTTATCGTGGATGTTTTGTCCACTTTTATCGCAAATGATCTCATTGACCGGTATGCGACGACCTCCAGTGCTGCGCACCAGGTGAAATAGTCTTTGACTATTCCCTGATGCAGAAGCTACCTTCATTCCATTAGCTATTTTGGGCCACCAGTTTCCTCGATCTTTCTTAAGGCTTTGCCTGAGTTCACGTTGCAGACGACACCGGTCCTTATGCCGATCCTGGCAGATTGGGATCTTTCGCTTTTGATCCATTAGGATTACTGACTCCTGAGAGATCTAATGCATTCGGGGAACTTCGGGCTCAATCCCACAAGCAAAGTTTGCAGCCGAGTGCATCACAAATATAATATGATTCCACTGTTGGTCTACTCCACTATGTCGCGGTTCTCCTAGCCCGTGTCCCAGCTTCTCCTCATAACGTGCGCAGACAGCTGGATCGCGCAGACGATGGTGAGCTAATTGAGGAGGCGATTTCTGCCGATGACCAACGAGTCGAAGAGCGAAGTATAGCAGAACTAGTGCATGATCCGACTCAACGCAGGTGGACCAATAGGATCTGCAATTTTGTGCTGCATCACGCAAACGGTAACTTACAGCTACCGTGGTCAATTTGGGTCAATGTGCCCGTTGAATTAGAACACCATGTAGCCGTTTGACGACACCTGTGTCGGAAATTGGTGCTAGATAAGAACAGCCGGTGATCCGCGCGAAACTCAAGTAGTCGATCACCGTTGTCTGTTCGCTGGGCGAGAAGGGCGAAGTGCCCTCCTAGACAGGCTTCCAATGCGCTCAGTTTTCCAGACTGCGCGTTAAAATCACCCTCCAGCACTATAATATAAGAGCTGCAGGTCAATCCGATGAGCTCGGCGAGTTTTGTTGGCACACTCGGCTTTTTGCGAACTGGGACTGCAGTTGGTTGGTACATACGCGGAAATTATGAACAAACACCTTTTGGTGTTGGTACCCTGTAGCCCCATTGCGCACAGACGACTAATGACGGGTATCCAATCAATCACAGAGGCTTCAGCTTTATCGTTTAGTTCGATTCCTACACCACACTGACCCAGTGAGCGGGCTGCGTCGTCTCCTGATGTGCGAAGGAAAAACTTCGAGGACAGACTCGGCGCACTCAGGTAGTTAATAATACTAGGATCGTGAATTCGTGTCTCCGATACGCAACAGACATCGATTTCTA